TAAAATATCTCTACTCTGTATCTTTTAAAAGTTATATTGATGCAAAATATTCATTGGCTACCTTCTCTGCTACTTACTGTAGAATTATGAAGATAAATTAGAGGTTGGAAGGATACAAGGACAGACAGCCAGCTGTTTTAGTTGTGTTTTATAAACCTCTGGGTTAATTTAGCATCTATACCTTAGCAATCTTCCTTCTTTCTATATGTATAGTGACAGATTAATTTGTTGTAGCTGTGAATATTAAACAAATGTGTATAGTCACTTTGAGGGGAAAATATTATTTCATATCTTCTCCTATAGACTAGAGTAATTCCCATTCTGCCTATGAGAGCAGAGAAATTAAAATGAGATGAAGATGGTTCTTTATTACCTTACAGTAACAATTAACAGAAAAATAATTTCTTCTTTTTTTACATTAAAGTTACCCTCTTCTACTCTGCTCTGAGGCAGGTGGTAAAATGGAAATTACTGAAACCAATATTAAATTTTATTGCAGAGTCAGTGACATTTGTCAGAGGGGAGGGAGGTTGGAAGGCTGGTTGGGCTGGGAACCGGGTGGAGGGGAGCTATGGGGGGAAAAAGAGGAACAACTGTAATAATCTGAACAATAAAGATTTATTATAAAAAAAAAAAGATGAGATAGGCTGTAGCCCTTTGTAAGACCTAACATACTCAGACAGGTTCCATTTGTGTAGTAATCACCAGATGTTCTTACGGATTTTTTTTTCTTTTTTAAAATAGGTTTTTATTGATTTCAGAGAGGAAGGGAGAGGGAGAGAGATAGAAACATCAATGATGAGAGAGAATCATTGATTGGCTGCCTCCTGCACGCCCCCTATTGGGGATCGAGCCCACAACCTAGGGATGTGCCCTTGACCAGAATTGAACCTGGGACTCTTCAGTCCGCAGGCTGACGCTCTATCCATTGAGCCAAACCAGCGAGGGCTTTTCTTATGGATTTTTAAATTGTAACCTGATGTTCTAAAAATGCATCATATTCCACTCTGCAAAAATCATTCTACCTCAGACTAAGGTTATTAGTAAGAGGAAACCACTAAAGATTGTTTAGAAGTTCTTATCCTTATTTATTCAGATTTTCTTTTCTAAATTGCTTTCCTAACTATTGCTTTAGAAGTTATAACTTTATGTATTTTGGTTATTGTGGTTTTACTTTTTATTGTAAGCTAAGAAGCTGGTTTAACAATATACACATATATTGTACTAGAATTTCTACATTTGAACAAAAGATCAAAGAGCTCCCATCCTCGCCCACTGTTATAATAAAAGACTAGTGCTCCACAACTACAATATAGAGAAAATTCAGTCATAGTTTCTGTTAATTATCAGAATTCATTTTTTGTATTAATTTACTACATTTAATGCTAATGCATTGCAATGTATCGATTGGGAAAGCTTCAGTACTGTACTTTCAGTATAATTTTTGAGGTATATTTTTGAGATAATTATGCTTAAATTTTTATATAAAAATAATATCAGGCCCACCCAGAGTGGCTCAGTGGTTGACTATCGACCCATGAACCAGTTAGATTCCGTTAAGGCTGTAGGCAAGCATGTCAAACTCGAGGCATGCAGCCTGCTGGCTGTGAGTTTCACATGCTTGCTCTAAAGCCTTAAGTTCAAATCAGTTTTTAGTGCAATTATATGATAAAGAAGTTTCTATATCTGATGCCATGATAAAATGTGCAGTGCTTTATCATTTGATATTCTCATAATTAATATTTTACTGTTAGAGGGGATTGTATATATTATTTATTTCAATCTTCTAGTTGGTATCTTCCCTGACATAATTGCTCTTTAAACATTTCTAGTAAGGACAAACTCAAGTAATTTAAAATTAGTATAATCCACTTGTGAGTAATTCTGGTGTTTAAAAATGTTAGAAATTTTTGTTCCAAAAATCAAGCTTCTTATATTTTTTCCAACTATTTGTCCTAGTTCTGTTGGCCCATACAAGGTAGGTTTTCTGCTCAGTTTTTCACGACAGTCCATCAAAATAGCCAAAAACTTCTATAATTTCCTTTGAGTCTTTTCTATTCCAGACTAAAAGTCCTTAGTTTGATTTATTTTTACTCATACTACATAAGTTTATATCAGGATCATCTTCTGGTTATGTTTCATATTTTAGGATCTTAAATTTTTACAAATTGAACAGAGTACTCCAGAATGTGAAATGACCTGTATAATATATGATGAGGAAGGGGGAAGAAAAGCCCAGGCAGTGTTGTTTAGTAGATGAGTGTTGACCTATGAACCAGGAGGTCACGGTTCAATTCCTGGTCAGAGCACATGCCTGGGTTTCAGGCTTGACCCTCCAGTGTGGAGTGTGCAGGAGGCAGCCGATCAAAGATTCTCTCTCATCATTGATGTTTCTGTCTCTCTCTCCCTCTTCCTTCCTCTCTGAAATCAATTTTTTAAAAAAAAAGGAAAGGAAAGAAGAAGAAATACTGCAGAGTGGTGGAGTCAGCAACTAATTGGACAAAGAGATGAGCCAGGTATATACTGTGTGCTAGGCATCAAAGCAAAATATTTTCTAGCCCTAAGATGTTTTGGCCCTGCTATTTTAAATCTCCGCCGCCATTTGGATCCTTAGAGTGGTTTGCCAAGATTTGATTAGCTTGAAACCACACCAATTTACTGCTAAGTAAAAAGTGAAAAAATATCCTGATGAATTAGATCTATAAAAATTTCACCTGAGAAACTAGAATTAATGATAATGGCCACAGATGTAAACTTGAAATGGCAGGAAATCTTTGAAATTTGTTTTATACCTAAACACTGAGCAGTGCTTCATATCTTTGTTGTAAAATTTACTCTAGAAAAGATGACGTTAAGTTAAATAATTTCAGCAAAATAAAAATAAAATTGAAAAGGGGGGAAAGTAGAAACTTTGAGTATGTAGAAAATTGCTCTGAGTATCAAGTCAGCTTAATTATTTTCTTCCAGAAAATGCTTTTTTTCCTCTTTTTCCTATCACCTCGACTGGGCTAGAATTGAATTTTTTTTATTCTCTTATATCTATTATATATTATACCAGTATTATGTGAGCATAGTCTCATCATAATATATTTAGATTTGTATAAACAAAATTTAAAAATCATTCTTCCCTCTGCTTCTCTCTCCAGAGGTAACCACTATATGTATTTTGGTACCTATCCTTCTAGATATCTTTCCCCTGCTTTTACAAAGTATGTGTGTACAAAAATAAATATTGACTTTTTGATATTTGGTATTGTTCTCTCTGTAGTCTGTACTTAAAAAAAAAAAGTCTTGAATCTCTTTCCATATAAGTAAATGGGATAAAAATGTTTGCTGGGTAAAAATGGAGGCTTTACAATATCCTTATTGCCTGGAGACTTGAGTAAAGATGGGGAGTGTATGTAAAAGGATAGGAATGGTACAAGGTACAGGTGTGTTTATTACCGTCAAGAATCTCAGTCTAGTAGAAGTGAAGTATGTAGTAACTACTAGGGGGCCAGTGCACAAATTCATGCACCTTGAAAAGAACTGTGGGCTATGAGGCTGCAGTGGGCACAGGGGCAGGTCTAGGCCCATCCTCCGCACCCCCCCCGCCCCTCCCGCCGCAGTCCCCAGGCTCCTGTCTGCCAACAGCCTTGCTCCCACCGCTGCTGCTCCCACATGCTGATAGCGCTGGCCCCGCTCGCACCCTCTGAACAGCCCAGAGCTATTGGGGCTGGCACCAGCAGCAGGTGCGGCGAGCAGGGCCAGTGCAGGAGGAGGTGGAGAAGCCCTCAGGGGCAATTGGGGCTGGCAGCCGCCGCTCATACCCACTGATGGTGGGACTGGTGCCGGGCACCGGCTGCAGGTGCAAGTGGCGGCTCTGGTGCTGGCTGCGGGTGTGAGCGGGGCCAGCGCCAACAGTGGGTGCGAGTGGGGCTGCCGCCGGCAGTGGGTGTGAGAGGTGGCTGCCAGCCCCAATCGCCCCTCAGGAGCAGTGGGAGGTGGAGAAGCCCTAAGGAGTGATTGGGGCTGGCAGCCACTGCTCGCACCTGCTGACGGCGCCAGGTGCCAGCAGTGGGTGCAAGCAGCAGCTCCGGCACCGGCAGGGAGTGCAAGCACCAGGTGGGGCTGCAGCATGCGGGAGCAAAGAATTTTCAGTAACTATCAGAGGCTTGCCCCAATAACAGCGACCGGCGCCCTGCCTTGATCTGGCGCCCCTGCTCACCTGCTCCACCATCCTGCCGTGGCTGATGCCCACCATGTTCCGTGCTCAGCCGCCTGCTGCCAATGCCCACCATGTTCCGCGTGTGCCCCCTGGTGGTCAGCACACGTCATAGCAACTGGTTGTTTGGTTGTTTTGGTAGTTCCGCTGTTCAGTCTATTTGCATATTAGCCTTTTATTATATAGGATAATACAAAGCAATAAGTGTTTTAATGGATATATTTACTAGGTGCTATTTGAGCACAGAGGAATGAGCATCAAACTCAGACAAAGAAAGATGAATGTGTCGGATGGTGCTTAGAGATGGTGAAAGGGATTTTTAGATCAGGTTCTAAGATTAATATTTTGCAGGTCAACTGTGGCCCAGAATGATTAAGTAATACACTGAATTCATTCTTTATTTTTGTGTGAAATTCCTATCATCCCTTTCTGATATCTAAGCCTGGTCCTGAAAGCAAAACTTTTATTACATGTGATTGTCTTTTAGAATGTTGGCAGCTTTACTGGTGGGTGTGACTCAATTGGTTGGAATGTCGTCCTGTGCACCGAAAGGTTGCCGGTTTGATTCCCAGTCAGGCCACATGCATAGGTTGCATGTTTGATCCCTGGTGGGCACATATGGGAGGCAGCTGATCGATGTTTCTTTCATACATTGATGTTTCTTTCTCTCCCTCCCTTCTCGGGGGGGAGGGTAGATAGAATTTTGACAGCTTTAAATAATGTTAAGAAATTACTTTAAGTTGTTAAAATTTCATCATGTAGAAGATTATGTGAATGTATTTTTTCCCTTTTGTAGGGAGGTGGTTGACTCAATGGTTCAGCATTTTAAAGTAACTATATTTGGGGACCGTAGGCCAGTTTATGATGGAAAAAGAAGCCTTTACACAGCCAATCCACTTCCTGTGGCAACTACTGGGGTAAGATATGTGTTCCTTTTTTGGGAAGCTATACTTTTGCAATTTCTTATTTTAAATGCATTTGTTACCTTTTTATTTTATTTCAGTCTATATATGTATGTGTATCATTTATCTTTTTTAACTTTTTTGAAATAATTTCAAACTTACAGAAAAGTTGTAACAATCGTATAAAGAACTCATGTACCCTTTACCAAGACTCACCAGTGTTCTTAACATTTGCCACATTTGTTTTAGCATTCTCTTTCTTTCTCTCCTTTGCTGTCTCTATCTATAGATACTGCCATATCTATCTATCTATCTATCTATCTATCTTTTTTTTTAAAAATTTTAAATTATTTTATTGATTTTTACAGAGAGAAAGGGAGAGGGATAGAGAGTTAGAAACATCCATGAGAGAGAAACATCGATCAGCTGCCTCCTGCACACCCCCTACTGGGGATGTGCTCACAAACAAGGTACATGCCCTTGACCGGAATTGAACCTGGGACCCTTCAGTCCACAGGCCAACGCTCTATCCACTGAGCCAAACCAGCCAGGGCATATCTTATTTTTTTCTGAACCATCCAAGAGTAGGTTGCATACATTATACTTTTTTTCTTTTTATTATATTTTTATTGATTTCAGAGAGGAAAGGAGAGGGAGAGAGAGATAGAAACATCAATAATGAGGATCGAGCCTGAAACCTGGGCATGTGCCCTTGACCGGTATAGAACCCAGTACCCTTCAAGTCCCCAGGCCGCCACTCTGTCCACTGAGCCAAATGGCTAGGGTGATAACTGTATTATTAAAAAGCATAATGGCCCTAGCCGGTTTGGCTCAGCAGAAAGAGCATCAGCCTGGGGACTGAAGGGTCCCAGGTTTGATTGCTGTCAAGGGCACGTACCTAGGTTGCAGGCTTGATCCCCTTGCCCTGGTTGGGGCGTGTACGAAGGCAACCAATCGATGTGTCTCTCTCACATCAATGTTTCTCTCTCTGTCTCTCTCTCCCTTCCACTCTCTCTAAAAACCAATGGAAAAATATCCTTAGGTGAGGACTTAAAAAATTTTTTTTTAAATAGTACAGTTATCAACTTCACTAAACTCTACATTGATATGTGATACTTTTGTCTAATCAACAACCCATATTTCATTTTTGTCATTTGTTCCAATAATGTCCTTTAGCATTTTTTTCCCTTTAATACAGAATTGAGTCCAGGTTCATGTTTATATTTAGATATCATGTCTCTCTAGTTTTCTTTATTTTGGAACAATTTCTCAGCCTTGCCTTCTTTCTTTAATGACATTAACATGGTTGAAGGTTGCAGGCAAGTTATTTTTAGACTATCCCTCAGTCTGAGTTTGTCTGATACTTCCTCTTTATTAAATTCTGATCAAGCATTTTTGGCAGGAATTAATATGTGTTTTTTTTCCTTATCAGTGTATCATATCAAGAAGCACATAGTATGTATTTGTTTCGTTAATGGTGATGTTAACTTTGATCACTTGGTTAAGTTGGTATTTGCCATGTTTCTCTTGTCAAGTTACTCTTTTTCTCTTTGCTCTTGGGAGATAACTTTTTTTTATTTAAATATATTTTATTTATTCTTTACAGAGAGGAAGGGAGAGGGACAGAGAGCCAGAAACATCGATGAGAGAGAAACATTGATCAGCCGCCTCCTGCACACTCCCCACTGGGTATGTGCCCACAACCAAGGCACATGCCCTTGACCGGATACTTCCTCTTTATTAAATTCTGATCAAGCATTTTTGGCAGGAATTAATATGTGTTTTTTTTCCTTATCAGTGTATCATATCAAGAAGCACATAGTATGTATTTGTTTCGTTAATGGTGATGTTAACTTTGATCACTTGGTTAAGTTGGTATTTGCCATGTTTCTCTTGTCAAGTTACTCTTTTTCTCTTTGCTCTTGGGAGATAACTTTTTTGCAAATTGTATATTTTATTTATTCTTTACAGAGAGGAAGGGAGAGGGACAGAGAGCCAGAAACATCGATGAGAGAGAAACATTGATCAGCCGCCTCCTGCACACTCCCCACTGGGTATGTGCCCACAACCAAGGCACATGCCCTTGACCGGAATCGAACCTGGGACCCTTGAGTCCGCAGGCCGACGCTCCATCCACTGAGCCAAACCGGTCAGGGCGGGAGATAGCTTTTTGTTTTAAATGTTTTTATTTAGTTTAGAGAGAGAAACATCAGTGTGAGAGGAAACATCGATCAGTTGGCTCCCGTATGCACCCCGACTGGGGATCAAACCCAAGTCGGGGTGCATATGGGAGTCAACTTAGGTCTGTGCCCTGACCAGGAATTGAATTGGTGACCTTTTGGTGCATGGGACAACTGAGCCACTCCAGCCAGGGCGAGATAGTTTTTTAAAAAATTCTAGTAAAATACAACCGCGCCCGGCTAGCTCAGTCGGTAGAGCATGAGACTCTTAAAAATTCTAGTAAAATACAGATAGCATAAAATTTATTATCTGAGCTATTTTTAAAGACTATTCTATGGTATTAAATACATTCCACAACTGTCACCACCATCCATCTCCATAACTTTTTTCATCTTGTAAAACTGAAACTCTATGCTCATTAAACATTAACTCCCCATTCTCTCCTCTCCTGAACCCCTGGCAACCACCATTCTACTTTGTGTCTCTATGAATTTGACTATTCCAAGTACCTCATATAAGTGGAATTGTACATTGTCTTTTTGTTACTGACTTATTTCATTTATCATAATGTCATCGAGGTTCATCTTTGTTGTCACGTTATAGGGATTTTCCTTTTTAAAGCTGAATAATATTTCCGTGTGCTTGTATGTGTGTATACATTTTGTTGTTTGTCCATCTACTGATGGACATCTTTGGGTTATTGCAAATAATGCTGCTGTAAATATGGGTACAAATATCTGTTCTAATCCCTGCTTTCAGTTCTATTGTGCATATACCCAAAAGTGGAGTTGCTGGATCATATAAATGGTAATTATATTTTTAATGTTTTGAGAAACCACCATACTGTTTTCCATAGCAACTGCACCATTTTACATTCCCACCAGCAGTACTTACAAGGGTTCTAAATTATCTACACCCTTGTCAACACTTATTTTCTATTGTGTTGATAATAGCCATCCTAATGTGTATGAAGTCATATCTGATTGTGGTTTTGATTTTGTATATCCCTAATTATTAGTGAAGTTGAGCATCTTTTCATGTTGCTTATGGGCCATTTGTGTATCTTTGGAGAAATATGTACTCAAGTTCTTTGCCCATTTTTTAAGTTTTTTTTTTTTATTGTTACTGAATTTTAGTTATTTTTTTCATATATAATTTTTTTATTGGTTTCAGAGAGGAAGGGAGAGAGAATCATTGATTGGCTGCCTCCTGCATGCCCCCCACTGGGGATCAAACCCGCAACCCCAGCATGTGCCCTGACCAAGAATCGAACTGTAAGCTCCCGGTTCATAGGTTGACACTCAACCACTGAGCCACACTGACCGGGCTTTAGCTCTTCTTTATGTATTCTTATCAGATACATGATTTCCAAATATTTCTTAATATTCCATAGGTTATCTTTTCACTTTGTTGCTTTTTTCCTTTGATGTACAGAAGTTTTTAATATTGATATGGGTGTTACTTTAAAGGATCTTGTTTCTCATTAGATTTTTTAAGTAATTGATGATTCTTGCTTGGAAGGATTATTACTATATAGTAATGATGATTTCCTTCTACATTTATTAGGTAACATTCTATAGCAAGGAATAGCATTTGCTTTTTTTTCTTAATTGATTTTAGAGAGAGGAAAGGAGAGACAGAGAAACATCGATCAGTTTCCTCCCATACACACCCCAACCAGGGATTGAGCCCACAACCTGGGTATATGCCCTAACCGGGAACCACCACCTTTTGGTGAATGGGACAACCAACTGAGCCACACTGGCCAAGGCAGGAGAGCATTTTCTTTTCCATTATTTATTTATTCTATTTATTTGACAGTTCAAAGTGGTTCCTATGTCCTTTTGACATGATCAACTTTTTCTTTTCTTTGAGTACTTCCTTACTTTGTGGCACAAGATGTTCCAGGCTCTTATAATTTTTCCCTGCAAAAATCCTGCAACTTGCTATTTCCGAAAGGAGCACAGGTTTCTTTTAGTTGGGGAATGCAGTTTACAAATCAAAATATGGGAACTGGGTGTGCTCACTGCTATATGTGCTTCTAAGCCCTTTCAGTGGACAGAAGTAGGAAATTCAAATACGTACATATATACATATATAATAAAACGACAATATTATATGTCATACAGTAAACCTAACTTAGGTGTCCTGCAAGTCCTACTTCTTGTATACATACAATCTGTATATTGGAACTCATGAGCTCAAACTGATTTTTCCAGTTCCACTCTATCCTCACAGAAATCTTTCTTTACTCTTCACATTGCATATTTGAATCTTCCTTCTTTTTTAAACTCCTGGCTTCCCCAAACATCACACTTTTACTTATCTGTTCAGTCCTACAGTACATGTAAAATAGTTTCAGAATTACTATACCATACCACTACAGAAAACAAACCTACTAATAAGAGTTTATGGTTTTATTTTGTATGCAATTCTTTCCTATTCACCCCTCCTCCTCACCCCCAACTGAGAGTATAGTCCAGTGATGGCGAACCTTTTGAGCTCGGCATGTCAAAATTTTGAAAAACCCTAACTTAACTCTGGTGCCGTGTCACATATAGAAATACTCATATTTTTTTTATATATTTGTAACCATAGTAAAAAAAAAAGATTTATATTTTTGATATTTATTTTATGTATTTAAATGCCATTTAACAAAGAAAAATCGACCAAAAAATATGTATAAAATGAACAAAAACAGAAAAACAATGTACATTTAGGAAAAAATAATAATAAAAACAATGATAATAAAATTGTATGAAAACTAGAAATTAGTGACTTTTTTGGTGCTGAAGTTTGTTTGCTAATTCTTCGGTTGCAGGTTCATACTTGGTGCACTTCAAGGCCAAGCAAGCGCCACTAACTTCATCTGTTAGCCGGTTTCTTTTGTTCGTTTTAATATTATTTAATGCTGAGAACAAAGTCTCACAAAAATATGTTGATGAAAAAATTGTTAGCAAAGCCATCGCTATATTTTTTATGTCGCTAAAAGTATCGGGTACTCTGTTCCAAGCACTCAAAATTTCTTGTTCATAGTTGCACTCTTCTTCATTATTCAAACGATTTCGTTCCAGATTTTCAAGTTTCGACCTTAAGTCGACAAACACATGAGTCCAAATGCTACCTTGAAAATCTGCAAGTTGCAACTCTAAATCGTCAATTTGCATCCTTTGGAAATCCTTTAATTCCAAAGTACTGTAAACAACTACATCCGGATACTTAATTATTTTAATGGTCTGTTCTAGGCTTCTAAATTGGTTGAATCTTTCGCTGAACTGTTCAAATAACTAGTTTACTATATTCTGGTACATAAGTATGGACTCCATTACACTCATTGTAGTGGCCTTCTCAAAATGCTTTTTTATCCGAGGAAAATACTTATAAGTTTTAGTTTCAATATCTCGCTTGAAAATTTTAAGTTTACTTTCAAAAGATTTGATGTATCCAAACATAACGTCAATGCTTTTGCCAA